TAGAACTTCAGTAAACAGTGCATTCAGTGTTAGTCTTAAAACATACTAGCCTAGCTACTAATCGCCTTTCCAACACTGCCAGCACTCTCCTCAGGGTCACCTCCAAGGGTCCCTGGGTGCCTGACTAACGTCAGCCCCTATCCAAGGGTCCGAGTGTGTAGAGTAGATTGCAGGTTGTCGCAGCAGGCGTTCTATCTAGGCGTGGTCAAAACATTAAACACTGGCAGCGTTGTTGCAGCAAGCGCGGGAGGAAGAATCCACTCAAGTTGTTTTTTGAACAAAAACAAGTACAACCAGTTTATACTGAACCTATTGCAATCTGTCAGAAGACTTGCACTGTGAGATCCCTGATTGATCCTTGGGGGGTTACAGGCCTGTTAGCCTGGGGGGTTATGGGCGCACTGACCCGCTACTGAAACAAGCCCTTTTATCCCAATGGTCTAGTGGTTGGGATTCTGACATGGTATCAGAGTGGTCTCGGGTTCGAATCCCGGTGTATGCACATGCAGGCCGTTGCCGCTGTGCCGAGTCCTGGACCTCCCAGTGTGGGGGGGTGTCAGAAGACTTGCACTGTGAGATCCCCGATTGATCCTTGGGGGGTTACAGGCCTGTTAGCCTGGGGGGTTATGGGCGCATTGACCCGCTACTGAAACAAGCCCTTTTATCCCAATGGTCTAGTGGTTGGGATTGTGACACAATCTATTCCAGCCTATACTGTTTCTACAGTTTGTGACTTTCTTCGTCGTAGCGCGAACACTTTTCAAAACTCCTGCCGCTTCATTTTGTGGTCCCGCCATTCTGTTTTCATTTTCGCAAAAAAAAAAAAAAAAAAATCAAACTTCCCGCGCGAACAGCTTCAACGGTGCCGATTTGTAGAATATGCTTCGCGCCCTTTTCCGAATGGTTCAGGTTGATTTCGATCGAAATTAGCAAAGTGTAAAGGGAATTGATCAGACTGGGGCCCCGAGTTAGCAGAAACAGTGCCAACTTGGGGCCTCGTTAGTCGCGACCCTACGAAGTAGGCCCGAAGCAAATCACAAGCTAGGGCAACTAGTCCAAACCTGGCAAACACGCCAGGTCGCCACCTACTGCCTTGGGTTTGACGGAAATCGCTAGCACCCCACATCGCTGGAAGCACAACAATCCGTCAACCCAACACAGTCTGATCGATATACAACACAAGCAGCATGTAACAAACAACTCGGAATTATTACGGAAACATAAGACTGCCAAAACACAAAAGAGCTGAAACATGAAAATTAATAAAATGAGTGAGGAGGCAACACTTGGGATGTTTATGAACTTTTTATGTTTGAGAATTTTCAACCAACCTTCCCACATTCTTTCATGATATGTATCCATACATAGACGATTTACATGCAAATGCTTCCCTTGAAAATCTTCGATGGAAAATCTTCTATCATCCTTGCTCTTTTTCATTATGATAACAATCGCTTTACGTGAGTCGTACTCATACGACTCCTATGAATGATCTCTTCTCCATGCAAGGTATAGATGCTAGAACTCAAGACATGCAAGCAAACAACAATCAGCTACAATCTAGAGCTCCACAAGGGGCTCAAGAACAGTAAAACAATCCCCTAAGTGTAGTTCCGCCTGGGTCCCCCCCACCGGGGGGTTCTCTGCTACCGCCGCTTGGTTGGATTTCATGAGGTATCCGACAGACTGTGCCCGCTGCAGCGCAACCGACCACCTCTGCCGGAATTGGTGCAGGAACTTTGCCGCTTGAAAGGACTTGGGGGGAGCGTTGAAGTGGTGCCGTGCTGCTGTGTCAGCCAGCAGCTTCAAGAATACTGGCACCTCTGCACACGGGCAGCCGTACGTGTCAACGGCTAAGGGGAAGAACCCCACCGAGTCTGGCCGGTTCGCATAATGTTGAATCTTCTTATCCGCCTGCTCCCTTGCAGCCCACCCTCTGCCCTTCTTCACCTCTGGGTCCCTGGTGCTAATTGGGTCCGTGATGGTCACGTCACAGACATACAACGCCCCCGAGCTTTTGTCCCTCATAGTGAAATCAGCAGTCTGCTCCTCCACTGGGCAATACGCTGCAGACTCGCTGTGGACAATGAAACCTGCATCCTGGGCCATGCTGATGCAGGCGTCTCTCAGCTCGTTGTGCGTGTTGATGCGGTGCTTGCCTGTGCCGCATCGGAATAGGTGGTTGGGGAGGCGTGGGTCAAGGATGGCGGTGTGTTTGGAGCAGTCACAGTTTGCAGGTGTTGAAAATGGGAGGCCCAGGCGGAATCTGACTGCGTTAGCAAAGTGTTCAGGGGCCACCCGGCGGTTGGGCGCGATGGGTATGGCGGTGATCCAGTCACCTGTAGCGTATCCTGTTAGAGAGTACATGCGCTGGGTGTGGCCGCACAGCGGGTTCAGGCTCATTCGCCGTGTCTCCCGCACCTGATCCGCGTATCTGCTTCCATGAACGTATAGCACCAGTGTGTGCGTGCGATTCGAATGACAAGAAAGGGCAAGTGGGTTTGATGTGAATATGGGGTGTCAATGACAGTGTTGGCATGGCTTGGCTGTCAAGGAAATGCAGGCGAGGAGAGGAGTGAGACTCGTGCACGCCACTCTCAAGTGCGTCGCGCTGACCATTTGCATCAGCTCCGTTTCCCTGCAATTCAAATTACAGCAACGGAAGCAGGTCAAGTGAAGTAAAGAGGAAGAGCAGGGCAAAGCAAGGCTGACGCGTTGACCACTGGCTACAGCAAGATGGCAGTAACATATCACCAAGATGGTGATACCGTAAGACAATCGGCCTCTACGACAATTTGTGAGTTGACAAGAACATCGACGCATCACACGCAGGTTATATATCACCAGCATGGTAAAGCGAGGGTTGCCTCTCACCTCTCGGGGGGGTATGAAGCAGCGCCGCAGTGCAAAGATAATCATGAGGGGTTATAGGGTTTAGAGTTGCTGCCTCTCACCTCTCGTGGAAGAATTCTAGCTCATCCGCCACAGAGGCAGCCATGGTCTCTAAAGTTTGGAGCTCCGAGTCAAATGACTGCGACAAAGAGAAGAGAACAGAAGGGGTGGGGGTGGAAGGGGGATAATTGAAGTCTACTCCAGCCACAGCCGCCACAGAGGCCGCCATGCTCTCTAAAGTTTGGAGCTCCGAGTCAAATGTATGCGAAAAGGAAAAAGCGGGACGGGAGGGGTGAGGAGGGGGCGAGACGGCACATTGTCTTCTGCCCTCCCCTCTTCTTGCTTCACATTGTCTCACCCCCACCTGCTCCTTCTTGGGTGCTGCTGAGGGATGGACCTCAAGTTCCCAGTACACAACAAACAATCTCCTCCCTTCCCTCCACTTGAAACACACCATCCAAATCCATACAGACCCTTCCAGCATAATCACGCACACTCTCACCTATAGCAGTGCTTATGCCGGGGTAAAATGTCTATCTCTTCCTCACTCAGATCGGATCTACATCATCCCGTCTTCTTGCTCGACTGAGTTGCAGGAGATGCCGCCTTTCTTGGCGTCGCAAACGCTGTCCCATTAAAACATTGGCTCGTTCGTTATCAGGGACGGACAAAAACTGGAATGGGGCTTGGTTAGCCCCGGTAGCCATGGCGTGGTGTTGCATTGGATGCATTAGGGGATGACTTTGGTCTGTCCTCAGTTGTTGACCCTGAAATGAATTAGGAAACGGGAGTTCATATGCTTGATGCACATGCGTTGCCGCTGCACCCGAAGTAGCCGTGCGTTGCTGTTGTTGTATTTGCTGCCACCAGACGCTCTGAACCTGTTGTTGCTGGAGTAATTGCATTTGTAGAACGTGTATCTGTTGCTGCAAATCAGAGGTTTCTGTTGGGTTCTCGTGGTGAATCGTCGATTCCCCCTGCCGATTCTGCACCCTTTGTTGCATGCGCCCTCGTCCAGTACCGCGAACCCTAGACCCTTGAAGTGCTGTTTGTTGTGCTCTGATTTCGGTGCCTCCCCGACCCCTACCACGACGAGCCACTCGTGAACGTGTCAACTGTTCAGCTCCATTAAGTTCATCATCCTCCGGCTCCTCACCATCCTCGGGTACCACTTCCGTTTGCAATCGTAGTCGTTGGCGTCTTCTTACACGACGTGCCGCCACCGCATCCTCTTGTGACAGATCTTGGCCTCTAACCCTTAAATGACCCCAGTTTTGTGCCACCACATCTCCCTCTAAGGGATTGGGAACATCTATTCCCTGCTGCATTGCGGCGGTGTTCAAGCCAGTAACCCCTAAGCCTACATCTGCCCTTGCCGACATGATACCACCCGACCTCTCGATTCCCACCATGGCTTCACCTAACATGCTCATCCCTTCTTCTCCATCCACAGTAGCCTCTCCACCGCCATTCTGTTCTGGATTCACACTCTGCTGCCATCTTTCAAGCTGTATGGCCGGCTCACCCAAAGACATAACTTCCCAATCCCCATCACCAATGGTCTGCTCTTCAGTCCTAAGCTGGTCTTCAGTTCCTGTCTCCGACCCGCTTGAACTGCTATCCCCCCTGTCATCAGAATTCCCGCTATCGGAAGGTGTCATCAGCAGTAATCTCATCTTCAGCCTCAGGTTCCTCTGAGAATGACGAATCACTGTCCACATCCGCGCCCTCTGGAAGATCTCTAATGTGTACAATCCACTCATGTGGCGGTGTATTTCCACGTTGTGAGGCATGCTGACCCTGCTGCCGTACATGGCCTTCTCTTTGAGGCTGCTCAACATGCCCATGCCGCCGAGGCTCTTGAAACTGCCCTTCCCTATGAGGCTCCTGAACTTGTATGTGCCTCTGTTGCCCCTGCACTTCAACATGCAGTTGCTGTTCATGATGATGAACTTGCTTCTGCAGTTCCACAAGATGCCCATGTCTCAACTGCCCGTTCCAACCTTGCATCTCGTCCTGTTGTATGTGCGGGCCCCCTTCCCAATGCTCCCAAACGTGCTCAATGTTTAAGCGTTGCTCCTGCAACTGAACCCTTGTACGCCGCCCAGATGCCTGCCGCCCACTCCGTTGAGATTGTTGATGCCTCAGTCCATCCGGTTGCTGCTGCCCAATCCGTTGCTGCTGCCCAATCCGTTGCTGCTGCCCAATCCATTGCTGCTGCCCAATCCGTTGCTGCTGCCCAGCCCCTTGCTGTCAAGTCCCTTGCTGCCAAATCCCTTGCTGCTGCTCACTCCCTTCATGCCAACGAGTCCCTTGCTGCTGCCCAGTCCCTTGCTGCCTATTCCCTCCCTGCTGCCCAGTCCCTAGATGCTGCCCAGTCCCTTGCTGCTGCCCAGTCCCTTGCTGCTGCCCAGTCCCTTGCTGCTGCCCAGTCCCTTGCTGCCTATTCCCTCCCTGCTGCCCAGTCCCTTGATGCTGCCCGGTCCCTTGCTGCTGCCCAGTCCATTGCTGCTGCCCAGTCCCTTGCTGCTGCCCAGTCCCTCGCTGCCTATTCCCTCCCTGCTGCCCAGTCCCTTGCTGCTGCCCAATCACTTGCTGCTGCCCATTCCCTTGCTGTCTATTCCCTCCCTGCTGCCCAGTCCCTTGCTGCTGCCCAATCCCTTGCTGCTGCCCAGTCCCTTGCTGCCTATTCCCTCCCTGCTGCCCAGTCCCTTGATGCTGCCCGGTCCCTTGCTGCTGCCCAGTCCATTGCTGCTGCCCAGTCCCTTGCTGCTGCCCAGTCCCTCGCTGCCTATTCCCTCCCTGCTGCCCAGTCCCTTGCTGCTGCCCAATCCCTTGCTGCTGCCCAGTCCCTTGCTGCCTATTCCCTCCCTGCTGCCCAGTCCCTTGCTGCTGCCCAGTCCCTTGCTGCTGCCCAGTCCCTTGCTGCCTATTCCCTCCCTGCTGCCCAGTCCCTTGCCGCTGCCCAATCCCTTGCTGCTGCCCAGTCCCTTGCTGCCTATTCCCTCCCTGCTTCCCAGTCCCTTGCTGCTGCCCAATCCCTTGCTGCTGCCCATTCCCTTGCTGCCTATTCCCTCCCTGCTGCCCAGTCCCTTGCTGCTGCCCAATCCCTTGCTGCTGCTGCAGTTGTCCTTGCTGCTGCCATTGCTCTTGCTGCTGCCAATGTCCTTGCTGCTCCCCTTCCCCTTGTTGCTGTCTCTGTCCTTGCTGCTCCCCTTCCCCTTGTTGCTGCCCTTGTCCCTGCCAGTGCCTATCCTCTCGCTGTTTCGGCTGTCCTTGGTGCTGTACATGCCCATGCTCCCCACGGCAAGCTCCCCCCAGCCTATGTCGAGTTTGACATCCCTCACAGTGCACATAGTTGATGGAGATCCGAGAAAGTGTTGTGGTTTGAAAACTAAGATGCTCCTGGTGTGTTCTCTGAAATCTTTGCTCAAGTCGCTCTTCCTCTCTGTCCTCGCACGTGCTAATGTTGTGGCCCTTTAACCTACACCTGCTGCACCTCCGCATCCGTTGTGGATCGGTTTCACGACCTGATCGCATCCGTTTGTTCTTTCTTCTTCCAGGTCGTCGCTTGTACTTGGGTGGAAGAGTAACCCCATCTCGCACGATGGATGTTGGGTCAATGTACTTCATGTCCTCGCCATACATGGCCTTCATGGTATCGAGATGAAACACGCGATGAACCATGTCAAAAGGCAAGCGGTTGTTCTCCCCTGCTGCGGCAAAAATGTGAACACATGGCAGCCCGTACTCCCTGCAGTAGCAAGGAGATGGTAGAGGGGTGACAGGGAAGGCCGAAGGGGGAGAAGGAAGGGTTAGGACAAAGGCGAAGGTGGAAGAGGGAAGGTGGAGGGGGAAGGAGGAGGGGGAAGTTAAGTTTGATGGGGGCTGAAAGACAAGGAAAGATACTTCAAACATGTTCAGATTTCCGCCAGTTTGCACAAACATTCCCAAGCTTACAAATTTGGTGCATGCACGTAGTACAATAACGGAGGTTGGCAAGATCTCGACCATATACACATGAGTACACATGTACGTACTTCGTGTAGTTGCAGCTGCATTCTCGCTCCCCGAGATCCACCACACGTGATTCCCGACGTCCGGTGTGGGTAACCGCAAAGGTCGTTGTCCCGGTGCTTTCCACATCGTAGCTTAACGCGTCATCCTTGTTGGCTGAGATTACCACCGTTGCATTCTTGGTCCACGAGCCAGACATTTGAGAGTATTCTAGGAACCGACGACGCCTAATCTTTGGTAGAGTGTCGATCCATCCAAGAAGCACTTGTGCAATGGTTCTATCGCGCAAATGATGCACAGATGCATGTTGTGACTCCACGGGGTTTGACGTGAGGACCCCGAACCTAGACCTAGGGAAATGGACGGTTGCCCACTTTGAGAGCAACACACCTCTCTCCCCCGCAAGATAAGCCCTACCACCGGGACATGCATTCTCTATTTTATCCATTCGAAACTCAAACAGCTCGATGTTCAGTGTTTCAGCGGCCTCCTTAATGGACGAACTCATGTCCTTCCCAAATTTATTGGTGAAGTTTCGCCCAATGTGGGTAATGCACTGAGACTCGTGTGCATGCTGAAGCAACTCTGCACACGAACTCCAGCCAGAACCACGGTCATGCTTTATGACCCACTCCGGGGAATTGAGCTCGGGAAACACCTTCAAAAGCTGTCGAATTGGAAGGGCGCAACTCTCATTGCTCTCGGACTCGACGAACGCAATTCCAACTGAAACATAGTGACCGTCACCATCCAAAATAACAAGGTTAATCGTCTGACCCCCCCAACACCGTTTTGTTGTGGCACCCGTCGATGATTAGTATCGGCATGGCGTTCAACATTGTTGAACGGGCTACACTCGGGATAGCGCATGCACTGTAGAAACGGTTATCGCGCTTGGAGAGCGACACAATACTTCCAGGATTGTCTCGCACAAAAACCTCAAGAATACTCCTTACATACTGAAATGAAGTATCATTCTGCTGAGGGTCCGCCATTTTGATGTCGTGTATTGCTCTTCGTGAAGTCGTCCTCTGACCCGTACGTTGCTGGACTTCCTTGACCAACGTTTTAGGATCTAAGGCCACATTGGGAATAGTATTTGCGAAATCAATTAGATCTGCTCGTGAAGCTCCTTTGGGATGTACCGTGCAGTACGCACCATGTTGCAGGTTTGCCATGACAACTCGAAGCGAGCCATCTATACACAACCTAGCACTGATCATGAAAGGGCAAGGTTCTTCCGTTTCTGGTTCATTACTGACAACAGCCATTCCTTTCTTCCTATACGCAAAAGATGGACACCGTGCCTCCACCCTATGAGGTTTGTTTGCAACGAACTTGAAAGCGCACCTTGTCGCCCCGCATTGCGATCTTATGTCATGTTTCGCATCTTTCGATGAAGCATACCGCTTCCCCACAGGGAAGTCCAAAGCAACCGAGGAGTTGTTCATCTTGACCTGGTTCATGAAGAAGAGAAAATAAAAGAAGATTGAATAATCAACCAAACAAAAAAAAAAGGAAAGAAAGAGGAGTTGGGGAACTTCGGACTGTGTTGTCGTTTGTAGAATGATCTAGAAACAAATGATAAGGAATTACAGTACTATTAATGCCACGTGACACAAAAACAACTAATCATGGGCGGAAGAATGATCGATTTCGCAAAAGCATTGAGGCGGTATGACATGAAGCCCACTTATGGATTTACTAACTAAATAATCTAAGATAGGAGGAAATCGTCGCGAATACATCGATGCATAGGATCTGACCTCACCTTAGACTAGAATGTGCCGTTCTTATTCTCCAGCAAGATGCAGAAGCAGACACTAAAGCGTGACAGTTTTAGGGTTGTAAGGGAGGTCTCATAAGTCAATCTCTCGATGTGCGAATTGCTCTTAGCGAAAACACCAGGGTTTGGCGAACTTTCAAAAGCAGAAACACTTCGTGTTGGGTTGACGGATTGTTGTGCTTCCAGCGATGTGGGGTGCTAGCGATTTCCGTCAAACCCAAGGCAGTAGGTGGTGACCTGGCGTGTTTGCCAGGTTCGGACTAGCTGCCCTGGCTTGTGATTTGCTTCGGGCCTATTTCGTAGGGTCGCGAGTCACGAGGCCCCAAGTTGGCACTGTTTCTGCTAATCCGGGGCCCCAGTCTGATCAATTCCCTCCATGTGACAGTGGGGGAGGTTGAAGGGAAGTAGCCGTCGTGTGACTGATCATGTGCCATGCTGGTGCACCCCAGTTCTTGTGGCCCCAGGCAGTCCGCTACGCTGCACACCAACTGAACCTGTGGCCCAGTGACGCACGGTCACGGGTGACGCCAATCTTCCTTTGGACAGGTTTTCGGGGCGTAGCAGCTGACTACCGCGTCTGGGGTTGTCTGGCCGACGTTCGCGCCCTTGGCACGAACAAGTTGTCTGCACGCACCCGTGCCTGCGTCTTTCTTGGCTTCCCACTCGACGCCTTAGGCAAGGTGTTCTACGACCCAGTCACCCACCAGTTCTTTGCATCTCAGGACATCACTTTCGACGAGTTGGTCGGTTACTACAGGAGTCGCCCCCACCGAGATTATGATGCCTTTTCCCCCCCACTGTTCCTCACCCTTGAGCTCCCCCTAGTCGCCCCGGTAGCCCCACCCCCTTCGCGTCGTGCCCCGTCAGGTGTGTCGCACGTCACTCCGCAGTCTTCCCACCCGCAGCGTCCTGTCCCTGATGTGTCTGGGGGTGCTGGAGGTGCAGTTGCGGAGGGTGAGGGTACTGGGGCTGCTGGAGCCCGTCGTGCCAGCTCTGGGGGTGTAGGGGGTGTGAGAGTGGAGACCACTCCTGAGGAGGCCACGGCTGTCTCAACTTAGTGGCCTCGCCCCGCCTCACCCCTTGGCTTCCCGTCTGTTCCGCAGTTCCCTCCTCGTTCGCCTCCGCGGCCGGTCGCTGCGGAGCCTGGGGGTGTTCTTGCAGGAGGCACTGGAGTCCCTAGGGGTTTTGTTGGTGGAGGTTCTGGTTCTGGGGGTGCTGGAGCTGGAGACACGAGCACTGCGACGCCTACGCCGCGCACTGTACGTTTCCTGACCCGAGTGCAACGTTTAGACATGTTGGAGAGGGAGGAGCGGGAGCGGTTTGAGGGGGCACAAAAGCAGCAGCAGCAGCAGTCTCAGTCGGAGCGCCAGGAGAGAGTAGAGGAGGTATCACAGTAGTAGCAGCAGCAGTCTCAGTCGGAGTGTCAAGAGAGAGTAGAGGAGGAGTCACGGCAGCAGTAGCAGCAGCAGCAGCAGTCTCAGTCGGAGCGTCAAGAGAGAGTAGAGGAGGAGTCACGGCAGCAGCAACAGCAGTAGCAGCAGTCTCAGTTGGAGCGTCAGGAGAGAGTAGAGGAGGATTCACGGCAGCAGCAGCAGCAGTCTCAGTCGGAGCGTCAGGAGAGAGTAGAGGAGGAGTCACAGCCACAGCAGGAGAGGGTAGAGCAGAAGTCCCGGCCGCAGCAGCAGGTGTTGTTGTAGCCACAACAGGACAGAGTAGAGGAGGAGCCACGGGAGCAACAGGGGGGCAGGTGCCGCAACAGCAGTCGCCAGAGGAGGCGGAGCAGCAGCGAATTAGAGACCTGCCCAACTCAGCACCTGCACGCTTTGTTCATGGTCCCCTACCGTCCCCTCCTGTTCCCCCTGTCGAGTACCTTTCCTCGTCCCAGTGGACTCGTAGTTCTCCCCTCAGTCGTGCTGTGTCCCCAGAGCCTCGCCGGTCCCGTTACCGTGCCGACGGCCCGTTTCACCTTGTTCTTCTGTCTCGTGTTCCACCTCCTCCTGTCCTTCCACAGCCTCCTAAGTCATCCCTCAGTGTGTTTCACGACCCGTTGTCCAACTACCTTCATGCCTCTCGTCCTGTTGTCTCCCGTGTATTGTCCGCATTGGTCACACACCCGGCTGCACCTCTGTCGTCTGTCTCGGCACTTGTTACCACTGTCGCTGGCACTTGACTACGCCGCTCACCTGGTGAGTGGCCCTGCTCGTTCTCCGTCCTCTGGGGGTGCTCCTGTCTTTTCCCTGGAGGTCCTCGAGGACAAGCAGTTCGAGCTTGGTTTCCTTGCGGCCGCTGTTCCTCATCTCTACGCCATGGTGCTTGCCCTTGAGGGGGATCCAGACACTCTCGACATCCCGATCCCTCGCACACACACTGAGGCGGTCTCGGGACCTTGGGCCTCGTACTGGATAGCAGCTGAGGAGGCAGAGATGGCATCTTATAGATCCATAGGCACCTACGTCGACGCCATTCCGCCACATGGGGCGAACGTTGTCAGTGGCATGTGGCTCTACAAGGTGAAGCGGCCGCTTGGAGCACCACCCGTGTTCAAGGCGCGCTACGTGGCGAGATGCTTCAGTCAGCGAGAGGGGTAGACTTCTTCCAGACCTTCGCTCCCACCCCGAAGATTACCACTCTTTGGGTGTTGCTGCATATAGCAGCTCAGCACGACTACGAGTTGCACTCC